TTGCGCCATCCTGAAGGAGGCACGGAGAATAACACTCGGTAGACGGTGTTTCGGCATGCGTAGCACATGACCGAGCTATCGTAGTCGGTGGTGCAGGATGTTTTTTTCTGGATTGAAGTACTTGCCGCACAACCGAATACCCGTTTTCTAATCACCTCGCTACTAACACTCTGACGCCATCCAAAACCAGCCACGCTTCTGAAGCATCAGCGATCGAAAACCTGAATAAGCCTTACATCATTTGTCCGCAGAGGCCAAGTCTTGCATCTAAACAACAACACAGCCCCCACTGTAGCCCTTAAGATCCAGTGAGATGCCTTTTTGACACCACAAGTGACGCAAATTAGCTTTTGAGCTTTTGAGATTCCTGCCATGACTTCATCAGACACACTTCCGTCAGAGCTAACACAGATATCAAAGTAATGTAAATTTTCCGCTGTTCGTTTAACTAGATCGCCGCCACATCCTTAGCGCCATCACAGTGCAGGAAAAGGCATCCAGTTGGATGAACAAACTGCGAGTCATCCATAGATCCTGGTCTACTTACATTCACGGACACATTAGAGACTACTATCGACGGATAGGGTGCTTTGAAAACCAGTGAATCAATTCGACTATTTGTGTTGTTATTGCAGAAAACAAAACGAACACACGACCACCATGTGTTCTGTTCCTGTGTGCTTGCCAGTAACTCGTGAGAGGACAGACGGGCTCCACGTGGATGTACTCGTAATTTTTTCAGGCATAAACTTTGGCGAAAAAAACATGAGTTGGAGCAACAAATACTACTGAAAACGACTGTCGAAACTATGGAAACACCTGCATTTAACCAATCTTTTCGAATATTATTCACTTGGGCTGAAAGATGCGGTGTGCAGTTAGTTGCCTTGCCAAGACAACACCCTGAATGCGGCACGTGTTCTCCCTCATTGCCACTCACTCGCACATTAGTTTAACTTCGAAAACGACAATGTTTATTTGAAGACCACCAGTTCGGGAAAATCCACCTACACCTATTGGCACATACCTCGCACATCTGGATACATTCGTTGTAGGGTTTGTCTGCCTCACAAGCCTGTTCACACTGAAATGTAAGGGGGCGAAAAGACAGTTTGCTTGAGATAGACAACACGTGATGGGTGTTGGGGTAAACTTTGGAAATTAAACAGAAAAATCGGAGTAATTGAACATACAGTTCATTGTGACTCATATGCATCGGGAGCCTGCTACATCAAAACAAAAGTCAAGAATATAGCTTTCTGGAAGGTTGCAGTGTGAAAATTTATGTTGATCAGGTCGGTTAAGGCTTGAACTGGTTGCGGATTGCTAAAAACCGCGACCTTAGGCATCTTACTGAGCGGTTTTGGAAGACATCCCGTGGGGGCTTTTGCACGGGAACTGCAGATTGTGTTGAGTCTCTCTCATTATTGAAAAGTAGCGGATATTCCGTCGCAGCATCACGAAGAGCGCAATGAGTTTGGAAAATTCGAAATAGTTCGTTGGAAAAGTATTCCTGAAGGTGAACTAAGCAACCACGTAGCGTGGACTGGTTGCCGATGGGTATTTTATCTCTAGGCCTTATACAGGAGCTAGGGGCGAGATAGCTCAGTGGTTAGAGTGCAAATTTACTGATCACAAGGTCTCTGGCTCGAATTCGACCTCTACCTCTCAACTTCCTCTGTCTAGGCTTGGGCAGCATGGCAGTATCCCAGCCTTTGTGCTTCTTTCTGTTGGCATGGCAGCTAGGCGCCGAAAGGGTGCTACAGCTGAAAGACACAGGAGCCAATTACGACACTTGGAAACATCAAACGTGAATCGATGGAGCAGACGAATCGCTTGAGAAATGCACACCTCATGGACTTACGAGCAAATGTGTGGCCAGGGGATCCGGATGCCGAACTTACTCAAACTGCCATATAACGTAAAACGAAGTCTAAAATCGCCTCAAGTTCGAAAGACGTTTACCTATTTTGCACCCAAATGACTTCAGTGCTGCAATGTTTACCGGAGCAACATTTCGCATAAGCAGATCAATAATTCCGAAAGAAAACCTTCCGGAAAGAAAACAGGTGACCTTGTTCGTCTCTTTGCAATATTTAACGTTCAGCGGTGGTTGATGGGGGCGCCCACGGGAACTCCTCTATTCGGAGTGGCCAACCTTTTCTGGGTGTCTTAAGGTTCCTGACAAAACTCTCTTCCGGGTTATGGATTTCTGCGCTAAGCTCTGAATTCACAGGATTGTGGCATCCCGAAAGATGTCCTAATTCAGTCTGAAATAGATACGAGAGTGTCAATGGTATGCACTCGACTAATTACCATAATTTTTCGGTATCTCCTTGCGCGTGCAATAGCGATAAATCATAGCCAGTAGGAAAATACATTCATCTGCGAAACGATAAATATCATCCAATTAGCGAGAATTTACAACTTATCCTCAAACCTACTAGCGCAATGCAGTTTTTTGAAACATATCTTTTGATTCACACGAGTTTGGCCTGAACTTTTCCAACAGACGATGGTCGCGAATTGCGCATACAACGGGTTTACAACTTTACCCAAATACTCGGTTTCGTCTACGCTACACGGCTGACAAAATCGAACCTGCAAAAATATCTCAAAGAGTACTTGTTGCTCAAAGACGGTGTAGCATACAATTTTGCCTGTTTCAAGTCTAGCTAATGGTTGAATAGAACGCAGTTACAAAGCACTCGGCGAATTCGGAAATGATAGTTTTGCGACACTCGGAAATTACGCGGAGGTAGGATTACTTTTCGATAAAACCTTGCCAGACTCCTTCGAAAGAGTGACAAACAACAAAAGCCAATTAGTCATTTGTAGAGTTTTCTTATTGAGTTACTGATTTTATCATTAATAGGCCTACTGATTCCCTAATATTCATCATCAGCTGCCAGAGTTCAGCGCCTACCTGATGAGCTCCAAGAAGCGCGAAATCGGTCGTGCGCTGTCGAAGAGTTTTCAGCAACTTTGTGAGTAGTTTCCTTTATGAAAATATACTGCGATATCACGAATATCGTGCCCAATGAAACATGGGGCGGCCTGTGTGCAGCACATTCAGTTGTAGATTATCATAAATGAGAAATTCAATTGAGTCTCGCGTGAAAACCAAATTGATTTGCAGATGAAGTAATTTCTCGAAAACAGTTCAATTTGGGTTCAAGTAGAACATAAGGTTGGCGAAAACTCGGGGACTGCGCCTACGTGATGAGCCCGAATTGGAAGGGCGAAACCGGTCGCGGGCTGTTGAAGAGTTTTCAGCAACTTTGTGAGCAGTTTCTTTTATGAAAATATCAATGTAAATTCTGTGAAGGTTCTGTCTTCCTAATGACCAGTCCGGAGGAAACATTGAAAGTGATTGAACGTCAATTTTTTTAATTTCAACTTGGGGAAAGTGAAAGCCCGAATGAACATGCACATTCACATCGATTGGGCTTTCGAATGGACGACTGATGGAGTTCAATACGGAAATTGTAGCTAACAGATGCAGAGCTCACCATCGAAATAACAAAATAGTCAAAGACCCCACTTTTGTTCCTTCATCTTTGTTTGGTTAAAGCTCATCGTCTCAGTGTGTGGACTTTCTTCGTTACTGCGTTGCTACCTCGATAACGCTTGCGGTGGAAGAGATCAGCCAATGAGCTACGGCTTTTCCAAAACAGTTAAAAGTCAGGTAAAGGAGCCAGAGGTTTGACAAAACATATTAATCAAAAGCGAGGCTGATGCGAAAATCACGAATGATGCTGAGGTACGCCTAATGGTTTCCGGGGTGATGTACTCTTCCTCGACAGGTGCTGCGTAATCCACAAGACCATTGACCATGTATAGCTCTCTTCGTCCGGCCTGCTACCGGATAGAGACGAACAAGGAGCGTTCAGTCCATGACCTGGCAACGAAAGCCCTCGCCAGTCTACTCAGCCGCATTGATAACTGCCTTCATCCTGGATGAGAGCCAGGGTATGACAGAAACCAATGATTGATGACCCTGAGGGATATGGCGTTTTCACGCAGCCAATGACGTCCTTGCACCACAGGTGTCACCTTTTACGCGTACCTTTAACTTGTTACCACACTGGACAAACAGATCCACTTGTCGTCAACGCACGGACTGAGGCATCGCCTCCAACATGGTGTGGCTCTCAACCCCTCATTCTCCTTAGCCTCGGTAAACGGTGCTGCAGCAGCTGGCACCACTGCATTTCGATGCATGTTTTGCCAGCTAAAAAACTGAACTAAATTCTCCGAATGCTCATGACCGCCTTCGCCTTCTTGGGACTCAAAAGATAGGCGGAGTACCACAGTTTCCGCCAATCTTATGTTGCACTTGTAACCAATTAGAGTAATACACGCATCCGCTAACTTAGCTGAATCCCATCCGGGCTTATCATCAATCGAATACATCCAAGAGAACCGAGATTTGGTTGGGCTTTCTTAACTAGCGAACGACCGTTAACAGAGAAGTCACTCTAGAGCTTTAGACTGGCACATCTGAACATCATGGATACAAGCACCATGAAGTGTCTCCCACAGCAGAACACCTGTTTTGCTAAGAAAACTGCGAACTCGAATTAAAATTGACAGATTCTATACAAGTGACGCGGGCGAGTGAGGAAATATCAGTTATTACTCAATAGAACCAATGATCAATCGGTGACCAATAGCCATGAATGACCGAGAAGCACGCGCCAAGGTTTTCATGCGGATATGAGAACCATCCGTCATCAGAAAATTAGTCATGGTATCTCTAGTAATACTAACAGCGTACTAACCGCGTTATGTATGAATCATAGCATTCTGAACGAGCATGCGTTTCTCTTTACATTGAAGAATACCGATTGAGAAGCATTAGAACACTTTGAAAACTCTATGAACTGCTGGTAGGAAGTTGTGAATACCAACTTTTCTGCTTGGTTGGGCTCGACTTTCTTTTCGAAACCGGATCCTTTCAACTTCGAACCTTCCTAGGATGTTCTGTGCTGACTGAGAGAATCTCGGCAAAGATTCTATCAGCTCCCGATCCATTTCAACTAATGACCACTATACCAAATGCTTAGTTCTGGCAGATGCGAAAAAGGACTCCTGTCTCACGGGACTTTCAGGGGATGGGGGAGGTGATGCTCGTTTCATCGTCCCCAAATGCTTATTCTGGCAGATGCGAAAAAGGACTCCTGTCTCACGGGACTTTCAGGGGATGGGGGAGGTGATGCTCGTTTCATCGTCCCCCAAACACTGAGGTGACCGCGAGTGATATGTTGTGCTGCTTGACTCCTTGTTCACGTGTGAGCGCCGACTGGCTCAAGGTGCTCAATTTCTCGGATTTTCGCTTCGACCAGTTTAGTTAAAATTCAAGCACAGGTGTTCGCAAATTGGCTGTGGCCCATGCCTTGAGATGGATTAGAAGAACCAGTTCCGAAAGTAACTGGACTGCACAACTGCCAACGGAGTAATCATTTTCGTGGAGACAGATTTAATTGGTTGTTCTTCGGTTGTACTTGACAAATGGGTCCTGTTTCACTTTTTGGCCCGCCTAGAACTCTCCACGTGAGCTTTATAAACAGCCCGTTTTCGGCTGCACATGACACGCCTGTACGCGCCAGCGATCAATAGATCACCTGACTCGCACGTTCATTGGCTTTCTGGTTTGGCTAAGCACATCAGGCTATCAGGCGGCTATCCAGACTCGGGTTCACCGCATTAATAAGGTATTAAGAAAATTGTATTCCACAACAAGATGTTGTGCACATGCTGTTTCATCAACAGAATACGCACCTGGCTCTTCGGGGAGAAAAATTAGCGGAAAGCTTGACTTTCAAGGAAATTATGAAAGTCGCCATATGGAATTAGTTAAAAGCATAAAATCAACCACATGTTCTTTGGCGTGGTCGTACGTTTACTAGGACATTACATAGATAGGTATGACGGACACGTACCTCCTCATAGTATAAGAATCCTGGCGATAGTCGAATGCATTCCGACCGGAGTTGAGTTGGTACATCGGATAACACCTTGACCACCTCGTCCACCTGGAAAATTAAAGTACATGCGGGTCATCAAGCACAGCCATTTCAATCGATAACTGCGTGAAAAAAACGTTCTCTAATTTAATGGGAATTCCTGTCGGAAAACTGCAACACTCCACATCATTTTTTTCTAATTTGTCTTTTTCTAATGCAGCACTCACTCAAAGAACTAAGTCGGAAAGTTTACTCCACACCATTTTTTTCTAATTTGTCTTTGTCTCACTCACTCAAAGAACTAAGTCGGAAAGTTGAGGGGAATCGTTCGGTCTTTCACATGCGTTGCACACTGTATGACTAGATACGTTCCCTGGTCTTGTTTTCAATTTTCTAACGTTCTACAAGACCCGGTTTGGTCTTATTGAAGGGCAAAAGTTCTGTACCCAAAATGGGATGAGAAAGTGGTCTGGAGAAGCTATTTTTGGACATAAAATTCCTGGAATCGACACGACAATTACACGGCGCACAAGACCGAAGCAACCCATTACATGCACGACATGGCCATCCGCGTATGAGCCGTCCTCAGGTGGCGAGTGACGGACCCTCAGAAGTTCCCAGAAGTTCTCAAAAGTTCTCAGAAGTTCCCGTTATGTCGCATAATGTGAGGATCGCCACCAAGTACTCATGAATAGCGCTTCGACCTTGTTTGAAGCTGGCCAGGGATCGATTCTGCATGCAATAACAATGAATTTGCTGATCGATGAATATCTGTATAATGATAGCAATGCCACTTTTAGACGAGTTCTGTGCGACTGAGACATTCTAGATGTAGAATACTTTGACGTATTCGGGAAAGCCCGCTTGAGTGACGCGTGAAATCACAAGCCAGAAATCGTGGATTCTTGAAATTTAGCAATGAAATGAGGCACTACAAGTATTAAATACTTAAAAAAGGGTAAAAAACTTAAATTATGGGGGCTCCTGTCTAAATTGTTGCACGAAGTAGTGCAAGTCCAACGGAAGCTCAAAGAAGAGGACAAATCGATCTGACTTAGTGACACCCCTGCGCACAATACGCGGTAACGCAAATGGTCAAAAAGCGCGCGTAAAATATGGTCGACCAAATTGGTTCGACATGTCAAGGGTTAAAAGTGTTCATGAGGGATTACAAATGCATTTCGAGTCTATGAGGTAGACGCGGTAAAAAGCGGGCTCAGACAAGGGAAGGATTGTGTTCGTGAGGGATTACAAATGCATGTCTATGAGGGAGACGCAGTAAAAAGCGGGCTCAGACAAGGGAAGGATTTGACCGGGGGGAAGGAAGTACATTCGATTTCAGACAACCAACCGACTTTGTCCTAGATTCATGCAGATTACGTGACTATTATTAGCGAACTATGACTCCTGACACTTGGACAAGCTGTATTCCCAGAAGTACCGGACCTAAAAAGGGTTCTGTCAGTTTTATCTGCAAAAACTGATCCACTATTCATGCCGTTTTCCAAAAGGACTCGTGAGGTGTTTCCATTGATCTGTGCCAAAAACAACATATTTTGCAATCAGATGTGGAGATAATGCACCGAGCTTGACGATCTGGCCTCCTGGTTTCAACTGAAATTTATTCCAGATCTTAACCGAATCATATTCAACATGGTTAATTAAGAGTATTTTGAGCAGATGATTGCAAATCATAAATTGGACCGTGACGCTGTAAATTCAGCGAAAATCATGCAGGAATCACTGACGAGACCAAACAAAAACGGTTGCCGTAGTGGGTTTTTCCAACAATGGAATTTACGGTTCCTTCATTCTGTCAAAGTCACCTCAAGTGACGGGTTTATAGAGGTATAAAGTCTTTATTTATCCAGTAATTCGTCCGGAATTCGCTTGTTTGAGTAAACGAAGTGACTCCCTTCGGGAAGGCATCATACCTGTTTGGTTCTTTGAGGCCAGATTTAGCGGCTACAACTCTGCGGAAGGTAAACGTTATTCGACTTTCACTATGAATGATAGGGACGATGAGTTTGACTTTGTTAAGTAATAGACTTGAGTTCAAGCTTCATTCAAGGTCTGTCACTCATGTAATTTGAGGTAAATTTTTCAGGTGAAAGTTCATTTTGCGAGTGTTCCAAAGGTTTCGACTATATTTGGGATAAAGATTCAGCAAAAATAGTTTAGGTTCAAGTGAGTAAGAACCGAAGTAACAGTTATTCCATAAAAACGATTTTTTTCTCATTTCTACGCTTCTATTCGAGTGCGGAGCTGTATGGGGGGCACGTGATCTTGTTTGTGTATTGAGAATGTTCACGCTTCAGGGTTCGAAATTATGGTAATGCTGTTTTATGAATAGAAACAGGGCCAGAACGCTCTTCATCGTGAGATTGATAGTCCCGGCATCAACTGGAGCACTCAATCTTCTCGATCACCTTTAGTTGGAAAGTTTCGCAGCTAAAGATCTTCTTATTCAATAATATCCTAGCCTAATTTACCATTCAGTATCAGGAAGAATTTCACCTGACAGCAGCATTCTTACTTTAAATAATTCAAACGCTGACAAATTTTGATACAGTACGAACTTGATGCACAGGCTAATAGATTGTGGCAGTAATAAAAAAAGTACTACGCGTCTCCTAGCAACTATTCTCCACGTAGATGATGACCCAAAAGTCACTCGACATACGTGAATGCCCATTCCAACCGGAAAAAGATGGACGAGTCCAAATATGGATAGCCACATGTCTGTGAATAATTTATGAAATAGCTGGTGAGATGACGGTTGTACGAGACCACTATGATTATTCGATGACATTTTGGTGTGATAGGTTGATGTCACACCGTTGCGTTTTGCTGACAGCTATCTAGCAGGCATGACATGTTGTCTCACTGAGTTGCTTCCATAGGTAACGAATATCTCTGTAGCGTCCACTTTGACAAGAGTGCAAAGTCCGGCTGTACTCCAATGACTCTCAGTGAAACTATCAACAGACAAATAAAATACCGTTAAATAACTAGAACACTCATCTGCATGTCTGTTTGGTTTTGACGGGGGACCCAGCTAGATCTCTCGTTTATGTTGTTCTTCTTAACTGAGTGTGTTGTACAACTGTATTACTTGATAATTGATCAGGTGGCTGTTGATTGATTCGCGAACATTTAGTCACCATTATAAGAAAAGATGTTTCCTCGAATGGTGACGAAGCGTTTGTAAATCAATTGCCGAGCTCAGCGAACAGATCGATTACCAACTAATGCACCCGGACTACCAATATTCCAACATATTCCCGACATTTGAGTAATGTCACTGACAGTAGCATGGCCGTAGGAAGCAAGAAATACAGACCACAACGCAACACGGATTAAGATCGGACCAACCAGAATCCAAGTAGGATGATTGTCAATGGCCAATTAGGTTGCAGCACAAAAACTGCTCGTTGTGAACTGTATAAACGCAGGCACGAAGAGAGGGACTACGCGTACTGAAGATGTCTCCTAGAATGGTCACAAAATGTTTGCGAATCAACTGCCAAGCTCGACGAACAGATCAACAGCCAATTGATCAATTACCAAATAATGCAACCGAGCTACTAATATTCCAACACATTACCAACAAGTGTATTACGCCTATATTGTTAGTCACATTCAAAAGGCATGAAAGAACATTTCTGTTTGTTAACCCTCCAAAGTAGGAACACCATTGAAAAGGTATTCTGACGTTACCCGAGAAGGTTCCCTTATGTGAAGCGTTTTTTTGTATAGGTACTGAACTCTGAACCTTAGCAACAAAAAGCTGGGGGATTAACAGGGCTGTCAGATAAGTTGAGGGTTTGGCTGACAACTCGAGGGAAACAAGGTCGTTTAGTTGTGTCAGTGGATATTTTGTGCTTGTCGACTCTTCATCCTGCCTATCCTATAACTTATGGATATGGTGGAAACGGAGATAACCTTCTTATGCGAATGAGGGGTGTTGCTGCTGTGTCTCACATCAGAAACGGCATGAGGAGTCTTCATTTCTTTTTGTCCATGCGGGTGATGGCTTTGGCACTGTTGTCATAAGGTCTCCTAAATACATCGATACGTGTCGTCATCTGCCGTTACTACCGCAGCTACTGCTGCGCGTACCGAAACATCGTCTACCGAGGTGAGTGTTGTTTTCTATTTCAAAATGGAACAAACCGTGGGGGTGTGGAACGCACCACATGGCACGATGATGTGAAAGAGGTTCCAAAGCGTTAAAGTGTTGCTGGAAAGGATCGCCTTTCAAGTACGGCCCTTGTGACCCCCTGGCTGGGGTCATTGCAAGAGGTGGCTTCTGTGAAGCATCAGTGTCAGCACTGGTATTGCTGTCTCTGATGATTCTGATGACTACCACCAAAGTGTTGGACCTAAGGGTAAAATATTTCTCCAATATACAAAACGGTAACAGTCAGCGTGGAGTGCTTTATTCTGTTAGAATTCCCATAGTCCTGAGTGCGTTCTGAAGCTGTTCAAAAAACACTACCGAGCACAAAATGAGCCCAACAGGGTAGACCAATCGTTTTCGACTAAAGAATAAATACATTTCACCTTCCGAGTCATTTTAAAAATCGTTTCATTCTCCCAATATTCCGTGGCGGAGGTTATCTCCAACCTACGGGGAATAACCATGAAAATCGATCACAAACTATCACCTTATACGTTGGTCCAACTTAGACACGAATCGTTAGGTTGGACACTACCTGAAACAGGGTCTCCGAAGTTGTATACATCTGCAGTGAAGACGCATGACGAGCCATGTTGTACGGCTCTCTCTAATGCTTTATTCGAATCGGGAGTCTTGGAAATATCCGACGGCATGGACCCTGTAAGATCATTTGACATGTTTCATCACCCTCTAGTGGTAGATGTGACATCTGGAAAGCTATCTATGTCAGAGACACAGGCCTCTTTACATGCTGGTATGCCCACACGCATTGCCTGACGCAAATGCAGCAGATAAATCTGACTACTCACAACTGTTGCCGAAGAACCACACGTTGTGTTGTCCGTTTTCCATGACATTCTGTGTGAAATATGTATACCACTGAGGA